CATCGCCGCCCTGCTCCCGCTGCTGGCCGCGCTGCAAGCCCACGTGCGACGCAACGCCGCCGCCATGGCCCCGCACGCGCGCCCGGTGCAGACGCTGCTGCGACGCGCCGCCGCAGATGCGGCACGCGCCGCAACGTGGGGCTTCCCCCCAGACCCCATGCTCCCACTGCGCGCCGCCGTGCTGCTCGACGGATTCACCGCGCTGCACGGACGCGTCGCTACCCTCGCGGCAGAGCTCGCCGACCCGCCCGCCGTCGCCCAGTGGACCCCCGGCTTTGCCGCTATGAAGCTCGACTTGGTCCGCATGGAGCTCGACCGCCTGCACGCCTCTGTCAGAGAGGAGGGGCGCCATGATTGGGATGCTGGCGGGGAGGAGGAGGACGTCGATGCGGAGCTGTTGATGGCGGACGTGATGCGCGCCGTGGAGGAGAGGGCACGTGTGATGGAAGAGCGCGCTCAAGGCCAAGGCGGGGGCGTGAAGAAGGAGCAACAGGAGCAAATTGTCTCGCTCAAAACGAGGCTTGATGCGGCGAAAGGCACAGTAAAGCGAAGGGACGCCGAGATTGAGGAAATGAAAATTAGGGCCTCCTTGTTTGAGGAGCAGATGGCGGAGAGGCGGCAGGAGATGAAGCAACTCGAGCTGGCACGGCACACTATCGGCCAGTTGGAGGACCAGCTTAAACGCGAACGGGAAAACGTGCTGGTGCCTGCCGTAGGGCCACGCGACATTGCTGATGCGCAATTACAATCCAATCGCGGTAATCTTGATGCCTCTACTGGCAACGACGAGAAGCCTGCCGTTCGTATCGTGGAGCTCCACCATGATCAAAGTCTAAACGTCGAGAGGAAGGCGCGTCAAAGTGATGCACTCGACAGAGACGATTCTCAGGCTCCAACTTTGAAGGCAACAGAGGCTGCTCATCGTCACACTGTTGATGCAAGTGATGCCGGCGCTATTCCTATTCAGTCTAAAAGCAGGGAGAGTCATGGACTTGAAACCAGTGATGCCGACACCTCCGTTCGAGAAGCAAACCTGGCTAGTACTGACAGAGACGAAGACCAGGTGGACCAGGTGCCGCGATATCTTGAGAGGATAGACGAAGCCAAGGAATCTGCAAGACTACGGCATATTCTTGTACACAGACAGCTTGCAGATTTACAAAGTGGACAATCAATGTTAGCTAACCTGCAGGAGAAAACAAGTTTAAACAGTAACGCTCGGCAAGTGCGGGACTCGCTTCGCGTCGCCTTGCGCAATGCCCGGGAGGCGGCTTCAAATGCTCAAGCAATACGACTAGATGCGCAGACATTACAACCGACGACAAGAGGGGCAACCATGTCGCGAAAGCAATTGCTTCAAGCAAAAGCGCTCGCCAATCGCTACTTGCCTGATGCCCGCCACGACAGGGGACAACACATTCCGGAACACGCCGTGCAATTGCAACTCGACCTTCGCGGTGAACACCAAGATGCATATATCGTTACTTCTGCACTCAAACAGCTGATGTGCCTCTAGTAGTGAATAGTTTCACCTCCGGTTAAGAAATCCTCCTGTATCTCAACCCATGCAGCCATGCGGCTTTTTCCTTTCCATCCAATTTTGCAACAGCCTCAAGGAAAGGCTTTCACCTTTTTCTTTTGCGCGTTCACAATGTACACAGCTTCTTTAGGAACCTAGAAGATATACCAAAGTTGTGTTTGAAAAGCGGAGATAGAGTTGAGAGTCAGTACATCCAATGCGCCTGCTATTCTACAGGGATGCGGACGCCTCGTCTCGCAATGCAACGTGTAGAGAAACTTACCCCCCATTCCTTATGGACGAGTTCGGCAAAGTCTTCTTGCCTCGAACCTTGGATTTCGATAACGTCACGATTATCGGCCGACTACGCATTCGTACCAAAAATATGTAATGCACCAGAACAAAGGCATCGCGAAAAATGTTAGTTCCCCATGAGTAATCCCCGAACCCGTGCATGAAAACCCATCAAAATGCTTTGGAGAGGAAGAACAACATACCACTGTGATCGACGAGCCCGTCGCAAACTTCCTCTTCGCCGCCTTCGCCGCCTCTTTTAGCTTGATGCCGAACAAATCGAGTCCGTACACAATCGTGACCTGCTTCTTACCCTTCCGCTGGCCAAGCATGAGGACAATCTCTGCGGCGGCCTTCTTTTTCTTTCCGCCGCTCGTCTTCTGCTCGATAGGAACGGCAACCTTAATGGCATCCTCGTCCTCGTCCTCGTCCGCACCAGGCATGACGACTGCGTTTCCAGACTCCTCCGCGATGCGAACGGCCTCTAGACGCGCCGCAATTTCGTCGGGGAACATGTCCGGGAAGTGTTCCGGCGCGTGCTTCCGCAACCACTCCTTGCATCTATCGGTCGAAGAACGAAAAATAAAAGTAAGAATAGCATGAGAGTCAGCGCTCGATTCAGCGTCGACAGAAATTCATCATCACACTCGTCCCAAAACAGAAACCTAACGACAACAAGCTGGCATACTTTTGAAACTGATTTCGCGAATGATACTCATGCACTTCCGCCGGCAGGGTGCACACCGAGCAGTACTGGACTTTGAGCGGGTACCGAGGGTCAGCCTGCGGCCCTTGCGGCTCTTCGGCGGCGACCTGGTCACTAGCCGATGCGGCGTTGGACGTGTCGTCTACAGGGGGCGCTCCGGCGTCCATCTTCTTGCTCGGAGGTTGGATTCTCGCACCTTCCTGCTTGTTTCGTTTGTAGAAGAGGGCTGCTGCTGGTCAAAAGATTGAGGCTGTCCGCCACGAGTAAAAGACGGCGGGGAGATGGACTGCCCCTGTTGCGCAGAGAGTGCGGAGGCCGGAGTGGCGCAGGCACGCCGTGCAGCACGGCAATCGGCACCTGCGCCATCCAACGCGACATAACTGTACACGTACAGTGCAGCTTCTGAAAATTATAACAGAAAAGAACACTGCAGTTTTCCGCAAGGACATAATCCTGTCACCCTGAAATACATCCAACAAAACTCCCCCAGTTTGGAAAGGCGACTTCCCGCACCATCGCTGAATGGAGCAACCTCCTAGTCTAGTCTTGAGGGGCAACTTGGTTGTCGGAGATGTAGACAGAGGGGGCTTTTTGTGCTGAAAGACAGCAAGCGCAATTTTAGTAGTCTCAGAAGTGCGGACGATTTCCCGATTCGGAAAGGCGTTACTGTACAACACTTTGATTCTATTGAGAATGAAAAGGTCGAAGGAAACTTTTAATGTTTGTTCCGGGACCAGTGCGGCGAGGGGGCGACCGCCACTCAGGCGATATTGTCAGTTCAAATATCCATGCTCTGCACACGGTATACCTCGAAGCACGGTATATGTACCTCGACGAAAGAACCCGTATTCCAAAATGCATGGCTAGCTCGCCAATATCATGTGTCGTAAAACTATATTCGTGCGGTGCACGCCAGTGTTTCAAAATTCCACACCAAACTACCCTACTCCGTTGGGGAAGAGCAGTCCTCATTCGTGCGTGGCCGCTAGGACCACTGTCGCCTCTGACCAAAAATCGTCGCACGATAAACAACGCAACACACCTGCCCAACTCAAACCAATTCTCCATTCCAAAAGTTAAAATCAAGTTTCAGCTCCTCTCTATTCCTTTGCAGATTCCAATCGGGCTCGCTCCAATTCCGCAAGCTTCCTCTTGTGTCTTCTCTCCAAGTTCTTCGAAATCAATTCATACGACAAAAACATGATAGCGGTATTCGGCACGGTCCTGGCGAGATGACAGCCCATCCCCCTATACAGCGCCTGCCATCCCTCCTCCTTTGCGATAAGCTTCAAGCTCTGCATCATAAATCGATACTTGGGCTTCGCGCCCGCCTTGGGAATCTCTCTCATGAGCACTCGCACCCGTTCATGCGGGTATGTCGCAACCGAGGCAATCAGCTTGGACAAAGCTGCTGTAGCGGTATACTGCAACGGCGTGAGCTCCGCGCGCTCGCCCGGTGCCACCGTCTTCCCCATATGGAGCAATTGCAACTTCTTCAAGCGCTCGTATAGTACAAAATGAATCGCCGCCTCCGACGTGCCCCACAAACTTGCCGAAAAGCCGCGATACAACCCCGCGGGTCCTTCCTGCTTCAAAATCTGGGCGCCCGCATCCAAATACCCTCGGTATTGGTGGCCCCCCAGCTGCATGCGGGTGCGCACAACCCACAGCGGGCTCATGATAAAATTGGAAGTACTGCCCGCGGCCACGGCGGCGGCCAAGTGGGCAATGGGGGAGTCCTTTCCCACAAATGTGGCGAGGAAGGCCTTGGTCTTGGCGTATGTGGCAAAGTAAATGGAACGCGATGGCAGCGTGCCGAGGAGGGAGCTGCCGAGGCCTCTGTAGAAGCCCGCGAGCCCATGGGCATCGGTGATGGAGCGAGTGACAGCGGCCACAGAACGGCCGGCACGGCCCGCGCCAGAGGCTTGCATACGGGTGCGCAGGACTTCCAGAGGGTTGGTGAAGAAGGCCGAGAGCGAACCGGCAAGGCCACCGGCGAGAAACTTGAAGATGGCGTGCTGGCGCGACAATGTCGTGATGGCCGTGGTGGAGGCCGAGGCCGAGGCTAGCGGCGGGGAACCAGGGCGTCGGCGGTGCGAGATGGAGGGGACAGGGATCGGAGTGGCAGTGGCGCGCACGGGCGTCGGGGGAGGGGGCAGGAGGGCGCAGACAGAGCGGCGGGTTGACACACGCATTGTGGGGGATGAGTTAATGGAGGAAAGACGTTAAGGGGTAATGAGGGTGAGTGGGGAAGAGAGGGGAAAGGGATGGGGAGGGGGTGGGGAGGAGGCTGGTGGCGGATGAAAGGATCGTCGGGCGGTGTAAACGCATGTCAACGGGCAGCGGAGATCAAGGTGGCTGGGCATGAGAGGCAATCGCCGCAATCGCTGCCGCGCTGTGGGCGGAAAACGACGCCGTTGGATCGTTTTTCGGGGCAGTGACGTCACCCCGCGACTGCGATTTGATCTCGCGGTGGTTGTGCGGGTAATTCTGTAAGGCGGTGTCATGTTATGGCCTTTTAATTGCAACTGCCTAAAGGTAATTTCAATTCTGCTTCTGGAAAGATATTTAATCCTGTTGGACCGCCTCCTACTCTGCCACTCTACGCTCATTGGACCCTGCCGATGCATCGCGCCAATCACCGTGCGCGATGCATCCAGCTCAGATATTCCATTCAATTCCGCTATTGTTATGCTCTCCTCCTCCCGAAAATCCGTCTCCCGTCCCTCATCTCCCCGGCTCGACCTCCCCGCGTAAACAGGATGCACCCATCAGAACCAAATCTAAAACCACCTCCCCTCCACGCCCCCCACCCACCTGCCTCCCGCTCACCACCGTCTCCGACTCCTACATCGGCGCCATGACAACTCCCACCTTCGTCCCCGCGCCTGCCCTGTCCCGCGCGCGCCCCTTCCTTACGGGCCACGCCCCTCTGATTACCCCTCGTCCCCCCATTTTGCCCGCCCGTACCGCCCCGTCCGCCGTCCTGCAGGAGCCGGTCTCGAACCCCAAGCCTAAGCCTGCCCGCCGCAAGGTCACTAAGGACCCTTACAACCCCTCTTTCTCCGAGTCGCCGCTCTTCACCGAGTGCTTCCCCAACTCCACAAAAGTCTACACTCCCGTCGAGCACCCGGAAACCTCCCAGGTACTCCGCGTGCCCTCGCGCCGTGTCCACCTCGCCGGTGGAGAGGCCCCGGTCGACCTGTATGACACCTCAGGACCCCAGGGTGTGAATCCGAGTCAGGGCTTGCCCAAGCTCCGCAAGGACTGGATTGAGCGCCGGGAGAATAGGGGGGATACCATCTTTACGCAGATGCATTACGCGAAGAAGGGTACCATTACAGAGGAGATGCTCTATTGTGCTGTCAGAGAAGGCTTAGACCCCGAGTTTGTGAGAAGTGAGGTTGCCAGGGGGAGGGCTATTATTCCGAGCAATAAGAGGCATACCGAGCTCGAGCCCATGATTGTTGGCCGAAACTTCAAAGTCAAGATCAATGCCAACATAGGAAATTCCATAATTACATCCAGTATCGAAGAGGAGGTCGAGAAGCTCCAGTGGTCAACCATGTGGGGCGCAGATACTCTCATGGATCTGAGCACCGGCATTCACATCCACCAAACGCGCGAGTGGATTATGAGAAATTGCCCGGTTCCCGTCGGCACGGTGCCCATCTACCAAGCCTTAGAAAAAGTCAACGGCATCGCAGAGGACCTCACATGGGAGATCTTCCGCGAAACCCTCATCGAGCAGGCCGAGCAGGGAGTCGACTACTTCACCATCCATGCCGGTGTGCTTTTACGCTACGTCCCGATGACTGCTAAGCGCATGACTGGGATTGTGTCGCGAGGCGGTTCGATTCATGCCAAGTGGTGTCTCACGCATCACAAGGAGAATTTTGCGTACGAGCACTGGGATGATATTTGCGAGATTATGCAGAAGTATGACATCGCCTTCTCCATTGGCGATGGCCTTCGCCCTGGCAGTATATACGACGCCAATGATGAGGCGCAGTTTGCGGAATTGAAGACGCAAGGTGAACTGACCAGAAGAGCATGGGAGTACGATGTACAAGTGATGAACGAAGGGCCCGGACATGTACCCATGAACAAGATTCCGGAGAATATGAAAAACCAGCTCGAATGGTGCAATGAGGCGCCGTTCTACACCCTGGGCCCATTGGCCACCGATATCGCACCAGGATATGACCACATCACATCAGCGATTGGAGCAGCCAACATTGGGGCGCTGGGCACAGCTTTGCTATGCTACGTGACGCCCAAGGAGCATCTAGGGCTTCCAAACCGTGACGATGTGAAGACCGGTGTGATTTCCTACAAAATTGCGGCGCACGCGGCCGACTTAGCCAAGGGGCATCCCGGTGCTCAGGTTCGGGATGACGCGCTCTCTAAGGCGCGGTTCGAGTTCCGGTGGGAGGACCAGTTTAATCTGTCGCTAGACCCCGTGTCTTCTCGAGCAATGCATGACGAGACGATGCCCAGCGAAGCAGGCAAGGTTGCGCATTTCTGCTCGATGTGTGGACCCAAGTTTTGTTCGATGAAGATCACGGAAGACGTTAGGGCGTACGCAAAGGAACATGGATATGGGGAAGTAGAGGCGGTGAAATTAGGGATGCAGGAGAAGTCAGAGCAGTTCATAACTGAGGCGCAGGGGCAGATCTATGTTCCGAAGGTTTTAGAGCTGGAGGAGTAGGACATGGAGATGCAGATTTGAGTGGATTTGCTGCTTGCATATTGCAGTGACGGTGCCATAAGTCTAGCGGAGCTGCACTTCCCTAAATGGAGGGGTCTATTTCCAATTGATAGTTTTTATAAATAGGAAGCATTTCGTGTTGAGAGGCGACAACAAAAATAGACAGAGGCTTTCATATAAGACCTTTAGTTTGAAATTTTGTTCTCTTCACGTTGGTTCGTGTCAAGACAGAGGGCAGTTTTAAACAGGTGGATGTCTACTCTCACTGATGGGGTTATCTCGACAAGAGAATATGGTTTCTCACGTAATCATGCTACCACCCGGGAATTTTTGTCGCTCTCCTCCCTTCGAGATGAGCTTAGTACAGAGCACAACTGTGTTAGATTTCTACGTACAGTATTCCCAGATCTATTCTCAGTGCCATAATTCTATTGGCCGCCACTGAAAAATGCAAGAACCCACGACAGGGGGGGGTCCCTCAATAGTGCCTACTTTAGTAGTGCTTCCCTCTATATAGTGCTATGGCTCACCCTTTGGCACAGGTTATCATAAGCTCACACGTGTATCATCCGGCATGGTTCAGTACTCAAAGGATGAAGTTATTTAGTTGTGTTATACAGGCTTTGTTGTGTTTGTGTTAGCAGTGTGCTTTGTCCCCAAATACATGTATTTGAGCCTCCTTTATATAGTGCCATCCCCCCAATAGTGCCATAGCTAGAGGTATGTCACGCTATAGCACTATATCGTAGAAGGCACTACTGTAAATCCATTTCTCTTTTATATGATAACGCTGGTACTGTAGCCATGATCTTGCTTGTGTGAGTATCAAGATCATGGCACACCGACATGTTTTAGCTGCCTCATCCTCTCCCTCCGTCCCCCGCCTCTCCTCCACCGTCAAAACCTCTGCCTTCATGCCCCCTTCTCCCCTCACAATGATTCTGCGACGTCTCCCCACCCTGGCCCGCCGCGCCGCCCGTCACCACTACGACTACTCCTCTCCTTCCGCCTCCCGTTTCCCGCTCGCCGCCGGCGCCGCCCTTCTCACAGCCACTGCCCTACCCCTCGCCCTTTCCGACGCCACGCCCTCCCCTTCCCATCCCTCGTTCGACGCGCCACCAATCCCAAAGCTCACCCCTGACTCTCCTCCTTCCCCCGCCTCCCCGCCCAGCCCGCCGACCCTCCTCTCCCGCTACGCCGTCGCCGACGCCGTCGAGAAAGTCATCCCCTCCGTCGTCAACATCCGCCGCGTCGCCTCGCGCAAGAAGCTCTCCTCCTTCATCTTCGACGACTCTGAGGCCATGGAGATCAGCTGCGGCTCGGGCTTCTTCATCTCGGAGGAGGGCCACATCGTCACTAACACGCACGTCGTAACTGACCGCCCGTCGGACCCCGCGAGCGAAGCGGGCGATGACTCGTTTTTGCACGTCACCTTGTCCACTGGCGAGACCTACGTCGGTCGCATTCTCGCTGCAGATCACGAGTCCGACATCGCCATCATCAAGGTCAATATCGACGCCCCCGTGCCTGTGGCAAAGATGGGAGACTCGGATGCCGTGCGCCCAGGCGAGTTTGTCGTCGCCGTTGGCTCCCCGCTCACCTTGTCTAATTCGTGCAGCTTTGGAATTATCTCTACCATTCATCGCGACTTGGCTGTCAGCACGGGAGAGCCGTCAGGGGGTCTCACTTACTTGCAGCTTGATGTGGCCATCAACCAGGGGAGCTCGGGCGGCCCGTGCATTTCACTCGATGGCGAGGTAGTTGGCATATGCTCGATGAAGATCGCGGGCAATGCGGAAGGGATCGGCTTCGCCATTCCAATCAAGTACGCTCAGAAAGTTGTTGAGGATTTGCAGACCCATGGTTACGTGCGCCGCCCATTCGTCGGCCTGACCCTTATTTCGGTCACGCCGCATCTGTTCGAGGATATCAGAAGAGATACAAATTATCGCCCGCCGCGCTGGTTGGAGGCGGAGATGCGCACGACGAATAGCTCCAAGTCCGTAGGCCTCATGGTGCATAACATAACCAAGGGAGGGCCGGGAGATCGGGCTGGCTTGCGAGCGGGGGATGTGGTTGTAGCTGTCAATAATATGAACACGACGACGACGTCTGAGTTTTTGGCTGCGCTTAACTTCCAGGTACAAAAGGATTGTAGACTCAAGGTGAGGAGAGGCGCTCATGGGAATGTCGAGCATGTTACGATACGTCCCGAGGTGCTAACTCCAAATCGGCGATTACGGTAGCTTTAATCAAGAGAGGAAAGGCGTGTTGCCTCCCATTGTATGTAAGGGCGCACGCACCATTTCGTACATCAGATATTTCTTCCGTCCAAACGGCAAAACTGAACATTAACCTTCTTCGCAAGTTTATGATATAATGCAAGATTCTCTACGACTGATTCCTGAACCATCGGCTCCAGATTTTGCATCACCAAGGAGCAATTTAGGACCAGCGCCGTTGTTTGGGGAAGCCTTCACATTTCCCCGTTTTCGTCGTGCAAACGTCAAATAGCTTGTGTGACCCTTCATAGAGCTAAATGGACGACTATGCAGCCTTGCTGCTACCCGAATAACCCGCCCATCATGCCGCCCATCGTTCTTATCAGCCATTTCTAGCCGTTCGGCGCCAGCCGTCTTTAGTTTCCTCCTCGTCGAGCCAGACAATTCTATCCGCTGCCTCTTTCGGTGACGAGAGCTCTCATCATTTAAGGCTGGGTTGGCCACGTCCTTCTGGCTCTCCTGCAGTTCATCAAACCCAGGAGTGCCAAGAATCTGTTCGCGAGTCTCGTACGTCCGCACTGGCGCAGTAACTGTGCGCACTGAATGAAACGGACCCTTGCGGAACATTTCTGCGCTCTTTTGTACTTGCTCCAGGCATGGTGAAAAAGTGCAAACCGTGCCGTTCGGTTTGAGCACCCGTGCAACTTCTTCACCCATCAGATACGGGGCTGGCAAGTCCAAAAATACGGCATCTGCTTCTCCGTCATTTACACCAAGAAAGCCTTGTTTGACGACATCCACGCCGCCAGTGACTTTGACGACGTGCTCAAGGCCTAGCGCCCGAAAATCCTTCTGGGCTGCGTCGGCACGTGGCTTGTGGAACTCAAAGGACCGCACTTGCCCCAATGGGGCAACAGCTCTCGCGAAAGCAACAGAAGCCGACCCAGAACCAGTACCCGACTCGATGAGCACTTGACCAGGGCGGAGGTCGAGAAAAAGGGTGATGACGGCAGAGTCGTGAGGGTAAACTATCTGGGTGCGATGGAACATAGCTAGCGACCACAATTCCGGCGTGGGTTTCAAAGCATGAACAAAGCCAGCGCATGCTTGCGTTCCAGAGCCCGTGCCAGGGTGTGACTTGGCCTCCCACCGCCGGCCTAAGGGATGTCCGATGACATCATCGTGAGCAAAGCGGCCATAGCGGTTGTTCAGAAACGAGCCGGCCCTTAGAACGACGGGGGTTAGTGCGTTGTACTTCTCCTGTACAATGATGAGGTCGCCATCGCACGCGTTTGGCGAAGAAGAACGCCCTTGGAGCAGCGGCATGAATCCGTCCGAGAAGAAGTGCGGTCGGCGTGACGACGCCGGCGAGGCTGACTGGTGAGAAGGAAATGTAACAGCAATGAGCACGACTCAGTCTTTTCCTTTGAAATTGCTGTTTTCGGCCCATGCACGTCAAAAGTTTTATGCATCGTGCAATCACTTCTGAGGGTTCAATAAAGTGTGGATCATGAGCACGCAGATTCCCGCCAGATTCATCATTAAAGAAAGCCTGTCACTTTTCTCCAGTGTTGCCTTCCCCCTCCCTCATCCCCTTCTGATCCAACCCTTCTCCCGTGATGGAACCCATCGTCCTGCTGCTTGCCGCGATTGGGGCTGTCACATTGCTCGCTGTCGTTGTTCGTCTCTTCCTCTTCATCACTCAATACCTCCTCACCTCCTTCTCCTACTCGAAATTCAAGGGAGAATGGGCCGTAGTCACCGGCGCGTCAGCCGGCATCGGCGCGGGCTTCGTTCACGGCCTCGCCTCCCGTGGAATTAACGTGGTCCTCCTCGCTCGGTCCAAAGACAAGATGGACATCATTGCCTCCGAAGTCTCCTCCACCTACGGCGTCAAAACTCACGTCACTTGCTTTGATTTCGGTTCCGCAGACCTCGCCGCCTACGCCGCCCTCAAAACCGAGCTCGCTCCACTCGCCCCGAAGATCCTCGTCAACAACGTCGGCGTCAACGTTGAGTTTCCGACAGATTTTGTTGAAATGGATCCCGCGGACGTCGATCGCATCGTCCGCATTAACATCACCTCCATCAACAAGATGACCGCCATGCTGCTTCCGGCCATGATTGCTGCCAAAAAAGGGATCGTCTTCTGCCTCAGCTCGGGGGGCGGTGCGGTCACACCGGCCCCGCTGTTGGCCCCTTATTCGGGCACAAAATCCTATGCGGATTCGTTCGCCGTCTCCCTGTCCGGAGAGGTCGTGGATAAGGGTGTCCAGGTTTGCTCCCTCACACCTTTCTTTGTCGAGAGCGCGATGGCAAAGATGCGCAAGTCCTTCACGGTACCGTCGGCCAACGACTTTGCCAATAAAGCGCTTAACCAAGTTTGCGTTTCACCAAGAGTTTCTCCGCATTGGGTCCACGCGATTATGGCAGGTGCAGTCACGCTTCTCCCCCTAAAGGCCCAGGTTTCTTACGTAACCAACCTCCATCGAAGCATTAGGACCAGAGCACTGAAAAAGAAAGAGCGTCTCGCTAAGGAAAACTAGGTAGTGACCATACCTATTTGTTGGCCAACCAAACCATCCTCGCTTCTGCATGCATGGACGGGGAGGTAATATATTTTTGCCTTACGAAGCTGCGAATGGCGATTAGGGACGGACCTTAGTGTGCATAGGAATACGGTCTCGAGTGAAGATCTATGCCTCTGCAGCCTGCATTACTAGCGGCAAGTTGTGGAGTTTTCTCAAGGATCCTTCGTAATTGAAGGCCTGCTCAAGGATGAACGAGAGAAGGCCGTTACACGCCGGTACAATATCGCGGTATCAGGTCAGAGCATTCATGTAGAGCTCCATCTAGATATATTTCGCCAACTCGTGCATGTACTGGTTTAATAATATATGTACACTTTACAAGTCACTACAATATACAATTTCACAGCAGAATCAGTCTATCCCATCAAGACCCGAGGCCAGAACGAACGTGCGGTACGACGCCCAGTGGCTGTCCGAGACATAGTCAGCCACGGATGTCGATTAATGCAACCTGAATCCAACCTTCGATTAGGCTCAGGTCTAAGTAGCTGGAAAAGAATACTGCGAGCGTTCGGGCTTATTCGCGATGCCGCCTCGCAGTCTGCAGGAAAAAGAGCTTCTTGCATCCAGTCAACTCTTTTCAATTTAGCATACTCTCCCAGCGTTGAACGATGGTTTATCTTTCCGCCACGATCCCACGGTTCCCCGACCGCTTCGCCAACTGGGAGGGGACCGATGAGCATCTGGTAAAGTAAGCAACCCAAACCCCAGAAATCGTTCGACAAAGTTGCAGGCCGGTCATTCCAGATCTCCGGAGGGATACCTTCAAATCCGTTGTTCCATACGCAACGTTTGATTTCTTCCAGCTCGCGTTCCGGATAGAACTTGTCAGAAGAAGGCTCTGTCTTCATAGATGTCATACTGAAGTCGATTAGCTTCACGGGGCCAATTACTGTGGGATTAGCTTCACAAAGAAGAACACTGCGGGTAGATATGCCACCATGAAGAATTCCAAGGCTATGAAGATACTGGACAGCCTCCAGCACCTGGCTGAACACCTGGTAAGCATCGTTGTCATTCATAGGTCCGTTCAACGCCAACCATTTCTGCAAGCTCGGGCCCGGGACGTACTCCATGATGAGTTGTGTTTCCCTCGGCGTGTGGAAGACTTGACGGCATGCGACAAGAGAGTCCGGGTACATGCGCTTCTCGATGACCATGAGCCTATTCCCCACGAAACTCTCCACCAGGGCTGGTGTGGGAGTTGTGTCACGTGATATTACTTTGACGGCTATGGGGCTATTGCCTCTATCGCTCGCCTTGCCGTAGTATACTGTGCTATTGCTCCCTTCGCAAATTTTCATGTTTCGACAAGCCGAGTAGGTGATGTCATCATCTGAAAGCTTTAGCTCTTTGAAAGCGGTATCCCAACTCGTAAACTCGTTTAATTCTCTGGCTTGAACCACGAGACAAGACGCGAAGCCACCAAACCCGGTACTTTTCTCCGTGATCTCAAAGGTAAGATTTTTCTCGTCTGCCTCAATAGTGGCATTCCGCAAACGCACTGAACTCGAAAGCCAAGGCACGTCGAGGACGCCGTAGTCGCGGAGAACAACTTTCGTGAGGAATTTTCGAGGAGGGCGCTTTTCCTTATGGATGTAGAGCTGCACGGGCGAGGACGTGATGGATTCGTTATCCTGCATGAAAAGATCGAGGGGGGCGGGACCGTTTTGGGACCGAAGTGGGTGCGAGGGGCGCTCGATGTAGCAAAGACGGCCGTCGCGAATAACATCCATCAACTCGATAGCGTCCCCAACATCCATTTCCAGAATCCTTTCGCTTGCCATTTTGGTGGTGCCATTAGGATGCGAACTGTCCTGTGCCTCGTCCGCCATGCCGCCTTGCTTCTCCTGCACTTACCCAAGCGACTGCAGCAACCGGTTGTCAAGGCCCCACCTGAGTTCTGCATACTCTGAGACAGACGCACTGCCCGCCCGGTAATCGCTAGGAGTAGCACGTCAGAAATTGAAAGTGGCCACACTAGGATACTTGACGGTAGTCTCCAGGTCTCTTGCTGCCCACTCTGCAGCTTCCGCTGAGTACGAGTTAGGCCTTTGTATTCAGGTCCTTTACGAGGACACGTGGTCGTCACACGTTTGCACAGTATTCCCTGTTTACACGTGTACTTGTTATGGGTCCCTACAGTATCTTGAGGTGTTATCATACCGCGTTCCGACCCCGTAGCTTGATCTCGATGCCCTGTTCTGCCGAACGATAAAGTCCCTTGTCTTTCCTAGTGCATCCGCCTTGACCGTTATCCCCTCCCCGCTTGTCTCTTTCCAGAGTTGCCGCACAGCTGATCCCACTATGGCACCCGCCTTTGCACTATGCCCCGGCATCCGCGCCTTCTCCGGCAAGCCCCTAGACGCCACCACCTCGCGCCGTCCGTACACCCCCCAAATTCGCGCGGCCCGCATGTCCCTCGCACCCCACATGGTGCCCGAGCCGGCCCCACAACCGCCCGCCGATCCGCCCAAGCCTGACGCCCCCCCCTCCGTGCCGCCCCCAGTGCCCATGGTTGCCGTCGGTGACAACTCGCAGATGGACATCTACTCCCGTCTGGCCAAGGATCGCATCCTCTTACTGGGTCGCGCCGTCGACGACGAGGTCGCCAACTCCCTCGTTGCGCAGTTGTTGTTTTTGGCAAGTGAAGATCCAGACAAGGATATCACTATGTACATCAACTCACCGGGAGGAGGAGTGTCTGCTGGCATGGCCATTTATGATACCATGCAATTCATTCCGTGCGATGTTCAGACGATTTGCTTTGGTACAGCCGCGAGTATGGGCGCATTCTTGCTGAGTGCAGGGACTAAGGGAAAGAGGAAGAGCCTGCCGAATGCCAGGATTATGATCCATCAGCCTCTCGGTGGCGCCCAAGGACAGGCAGCGGATATTGAGATTCAAGCACGAGAGATTCTGTTTGTCAAGGATTTGCTGAATGGTTACATGGCCGATTTCACAGGGCAGTCTTTGCAGAAAATACAAAACGATACGGACAGAGACTTCTTCATGACGGCTGCCGATGCCCAGGAGTACGGCCTTATCGATGAGGTCATTAAGACCAAGATAGATGTTCCAGTTCTTGCTCGCCCAACACTTGTGTAAATGCAGTCATGACTTCTTGACTTTCCAAAACTGCTAATCGACGAGGTCTTTCTGCCTTCAACTTGGCGCCGGCGTTGTCTCACATCTTGCTGCGTTGACTGCGTGCCATGGGTACAAGGGAAGAGTGTACCGTTTCTCCTTTGAAACGGAGAAGAGAAATGACCCCATTAATCTTGACTCTACTACGGCAAAAACATATCCATTTCGTAGTCTTGTCCGCGCTGTGTTGCAACTAGTGCGAGCGATTCTTTCCTGTGCCTTTCATAGTACGGTATAGGTCATCCGCACAGGATGAAAATGCTAGTCCCGATGCTCAAGGTGAGAATGAAAAGGTTTGAGATCTGTCCGGACACTGCTTTGAGCGCAAGACTACGGTGTTCATCTCACTGTGGTGCCGCTACGTTTTCGCCACTGTGAACAGATGGTTGGCGATAGGCTCGTCCGCCTGTCTGCGCCCACAGAAGTCGTAGCATTTCGAAGCGACGTCACCGCTTCTCCTCTTGTGCTTTCTCTGTTGGATTGTCTACTGGATAGGCATGTGTGCTGGGACAGGGCGAGCGAAACAAAGCTAGATTTGTCGAAAAGACAGATAAGGCACAAGATTTATCGGAATATCGGAAATACAAGCCAAACGAAAGCCGTGTGAACGCAAGAACTAGAGGAGTGAGCGGTTCAACTACGTCCCTTACGGATACCCCGTGGCCAGACAAAAATCAAATGGAACACCGTAAGAGGTTTAGTTGAGGATGGAAACGGGAACACCTTGGAAGTGGGTAAGCTGGTCGATGACACCGGTCTTGGACACAAGGCCTGCGTGGTACAGACCACCGAAGGCGCACATAGCCAGACGGCCGTTCTTGATTTCGCTGAGCTGGTACTTCTTGAAGACGTCAGGGTTCTTGCCGAGTCCAAGGGGGTCAAAGGCGAAGTAACCGGGAGCACGGGTGCCGTCTAGTGTAGCCTTGAGGGCAACAGAGCCGAAAATCTCAAAGAAGGAAACGAAGAGGAGGATCTGCGACATGCCTCCAGTCTTGACGAAGAAGTCATGTGCTTCGGTCGGGGTCATGGCCTTGACACCAGGGAAGCGGATAATTTCCGGGATCACGACACCGAGAACGCCAAGCATCGCAACACGGCCTGAGAAGAAAGAAACCAAAACAGACAAGTCAGTCAACAGATATTACTGAACTGCCAAACGCAGACACATGTGAGGAGGGGGATCGGAGGTGCGGATACTTACAATGCTTAATCTCAGCCTCTTGCATCCACTTGAGGTTGAAGGCTCCGGACAAGTTGAAGGGGTCGAAGCCTGCGTTGCCTGGAATAGATGGGTCATCCAAAGAAGCGGGCTGCTCCATGAAGGGCATAGCTGGGGAAATCTTCATGGACACGGCATGTCGTGAGACGGTTGCGGCGCGGCAGACTCGGGTGCCGGAGAGGGAGGAGGAGAAGCCGGTGACGACAGGTGCGACGAAGGCAGTCATGTTGATGAGTTAGGGGGAAAAACTGTTGTGGGTGTGGAATGGGGAGGAGTGGTGATGCTGGAGGTAGAAGAGTAGTAAGTCGGGGGATGGGTTCGCGGCAGACCTCGGTTTGTTTAAGTATTGGTTGAGTGGCTTCTCAAGTGGGCTGTGCGCAGAGGGTGCAGCTCGCTGGGTTTTATGGGGTTTCGCTGGCGCTCGCTGTAGGCAAGGTGGACTCGATTGCAGAACGTGCCTGTGTGCCGCCTGTCAACGGGCATTCGGGAGGCCGCTTTCGAACGGAGGTGCACCGAGGTCAATGGCGAGGATAGCCCAATGGTTCGAAATATCTGTGTGCCGAGCTCTCAACAGTCCACTTTCCTGCATTTTTATTGGCCCCTCACGGACGATACACTTCCACTTGTCGAGACAGTTGCCACAGAGAGAAGATCATTCGCAGGTATTTCTATTACAGTTCCTCATTACAGACGCCGGCCACGACTCGAAATTTGTTCACAGCTTGATCTCAAAATATTCCCCACTCCCGAACTCCCGCTGGGGGCGACACAACTCTCCACTGACACAACTCACAGGATGGAAACGTTCAGAATCCTGGAACCGTCTCTAAAAACCCCCACATCAGTGTCTGCCAACTGTAGACGAGCCCCTTGTTTCTTTCGATGTGTCGCTCCCGATGAAATACTGACATTGTCCAATGAATAAGGCATGTCGTTATTCTCTAGAAACACACTCATATTCCACTCACAAAATATCACATCTCTGCCCATACGGCATTACCCGCAGTCTACATACCCGCAATGAAAAGATTGCAAACCAGCTCAGGAGATTTGAGGAATTTTATTTCTTGCGGGTAAATGTTACGGTGCGAGTACGGAAATGGAAAACACCACCAATGATTTCCGAGGTGTCTCTAGTGCTACTTTTCGTAGAACGCCGTCCAGTTCCGACTGAAAGTTTAAAAAGAGGCACAACCCCTGACAGACTTGTTCAGCTAGCATAGAACGTCTAGCTACAGTATATGAACGGCAAACTTTCAGAGCACTGACAAATTGTGATTCGATCCATCTCTCTGCATCTTGGCACACATCAACAAATGGTAAAGGCTTGTTTGTAAACCTACAACGCCATAATCTGCACAGCCTGGCTCACGCTCTTCACATTACCACTTTGGTCAGCAATGAACATAGTGAGAAAACGATGAACCCATACGCATCCTCTTTTTTCCCTTCCACCGCACCCGTCGCGCAACCTGAGAACAACTATATGCAGTCGGCTTTGGATCCTTGCGTACCCGAATATACACCAAATTCGGTCGCACGAACTGAACATCCATTTCAGGAAAATATCAATGACTATGAGCGTATGTCGGGCCCCAGAAGTTTACCGGAGAGGCAGTGGTCATACATTCACGAGGGTGTGGACAATCCTCATGAATGGAGCGAAACTTTTCAAAGCAATCCCGTTGCCTTTCCATCAGAACTTCTGTCCGGTCTGTCGATGAAGCCAGGCAATGCGTTTGAGCGAAGAAAAGTTTCAAGCCTCACCAATGAGGAGGCACGAGAAAGCCTTGAGAAGGCCTGGGCCATGTTGGATCTCCATGTTGATGGGGCGAAGAGAATGCAGGAACGGATCTTATTCTTGGCAGAGTTGGTTAAATCACTAAGAGACGATCTCTCCCAGGAGAAAAAAGCTCACGCTCAGATGGACCTAGAAAAGATGCAGATAGCATCGGAACGTGAACTGTATCGCAAAGAGAAGTTGAAGAACAAATTGCTTGAGGAAAGGTTTTCTAGACTTGAGATCCAGCTCGCTTCTGAAAGGGGAGCGAACCGCAGGGAACACGTAAAGAACTCACAGCTCCGAGAATTATATGAAGATGCGACAGAAAAGCTCAAGGCGTTGAGTGATTCACGAACCGCGGCAGTAGAGAAATGAAGAAAGTGACACATTTTGGGCTTTGAAGTCGTGGACTTAATCTTACGCCATCCATGTAACATGCAAGGTCTGAACGATTGCAGTTTGTTCGACATTGTTTCAAAGCTACGTATAACTTTTAGAATTCGCTTCGCTAGTTTAGAATCATTTGGACAGCTACAGTCAACTTCAATAAAAAGGTTGCTTGGCTTTTCGCCTTATGAAAAGAAAATCAGAGCACTACGGGATGCTACCAACTATGTGACTTGCTATGTTCATGCTATGTATGTCATCAAAGGATGACGGTTGTTTTTCTCGCCGCGGCCCTGATGGAAGAGACAGAGTTGCTTGTTACTCAATCGCGTGAGCCGGGAAATTTGAAGCATTCTTCATCTTCGAGCTCTTGAACTATTGAGTCACTCCTCTAAGTACGGACAAGGAAATGTGGTTTCGGCTTTAGCTTTTTTTTTTTTAACAAGCATTGGTATACAGGGCATCATCCAATTGTTTTGACGTAGACGTTGTCGCCCTTCGAAAAACATGACGTGCTCGTTTGTCTTGCGGAAAGTAGCTGGAGTCGGTCATTTGGTCATAACATATCGGCGATATGAGTCTTTCGGAAATCCGAAAGGATCCTCATTTTGGGAGCATGGGTGGACAAGGACTTATATTAATAGCAAAAGCGTTTCAACCTTTCTGAATCTGAGAGAGCGAATAGACCTACTGTGATCCTACGGGAAGGCAAGATGCTTTGTTTGGTTCGCGCATCACCATCAACTCTTCAACTTGGCGTACTGTACTATTGGTTTTCTCGCGTAGTATTCCCGTCGAGATGCAGAATGGCATGCTGTGCAGTATTAGTGTACGGTCTCACCAGCAGCCTATCCAAAAGGTATCGCTGCCAAGATCCTTACATGACGCTGCAGTAGGATATAATTCTTTTTAGAGAATTTTTCTTACGTACCCCTTTTATTTTGGAATTTTTCTTGCGTACCCCTTTCTTCAGCGCATATCATGCACAACACTGGATCAGAAAGTAATGATAAAATTAGTAGATGGACAAGTGGGCTCCGTGCGCGCTTCGCGCGCCAAGCCAAGTCCCTTCCTCCTCCTCTCCTCGTTCTGCACACGCTGTCGTTCCCCGCCCCCCTGCTCCCCCTTCCTCTGCGCTAACTCTCCCGTCTTCTCTCCGGTCTTTGTCGCCCCTTGCCCCCTCGTCCTGCTACACGTTACTAGCCCCTGCGCGTCGCGCCCGGTCCGCGCCACCGCCCTCAGCGCCGCCGCCCGCCTGTGTCCCCTTCCCCCCCGACCGCGGTTCGGTCCCTGCAGCCCGCAAACATGGTCAGCGCCGCTGCCCTCCACGCCGCCGCTCGCTTCCGCCTAACACTGCTACCTGGCGGCGGCTCCCGGCACCCACCCGCCTGCGGGCGCCCTCCTGCACCGCCGGCTGCAACACCTGCCCGGCTCTCAGCGACCACTTTCCCCGTTCTTCGCACCTCCGTGATGCGCGCGGCCCGCGCCGCCGCCCTCCGCGCCACCGCTCTCACCACTACCTCGACCGCCCCTTCCTAAGCGCACCCGTCCACCACGTCCCCGCGCCGCAGGCACACCCCGCCCACCAGCACGCAGAACGTCTCTGCCACGCCCGCGTCCGTCCGCCCCGGCACTGCCACCCACCACGCACGTCGCCCGCCACATCTCGCCGCGCACGGCGCTCTTCGCCGCGTGCTGCCCGCTCATGTTGCGCAGAAGCTCCACGCAGCTCGCCACCACGCGCGCGTCGCCCGCCTGCCGGTCCAGCAGAGTCTCCGCCGCCGCTTGGAACCGCTTTGCGTGGAGTTGCATGCACACCGCGTCCGCGATCTCGCGCGCACGCCCGTCCCACCCGCCGCACTCGCCCACCACGGCGTCAACGCCTGCCTCCGCTGCTACCCGGCACACCACGTCCGTCACCGTCTCTGAGCAACCCAGTTAGCGCCCGCTCGCCGTCGCGCCTCCCCCGCCTCCCAACACGCGCGCCCGGTTGAAGCCCGCTCGCCGTCCGGCCTCCCCCGCCGCCCGGCACGCGCGCCCGATTGAAGACCCTTGTAGTACTCCACGCCGTCCCGCTCTGGCCCGGTCCGCTCCTGCGCCCTCTGCTCCCCCACGCGCACGCGCGAGTGTGGCGATCCATGCCGCCCCGCCTCGGCGCCCCCCACCTACCCTCCCCCACCGTCCCCATCGCTGCCCCAGCCCACAACTCCTCCATGTCATCGCCGCACACCCAAAACCGCCCTCCGCCCACCATCATCTTGCAGCCCACCGTCCCTATCGCCGCCCATCGCCGCCCCGACCCGCACTTTCTCGTCGCCGCGCATCCACATCCGCCCCCCAAAGTCGGAGCACCACGCGCTGCGCAACTCCGCCTTGAAGAATTCCGGCCCCCCCACGCACAGCCCCCCGCGCACCACCGCCCCGCTCACGTCGCCACGAGCCTCCGGTATTTCGGGCAGCCCCGTGTCTCACGCGTCCGCCCCCCTGTCGTACGCGTCCATCTACCACACCGCTGTCACGTGCTCGCAGTGCCCGCCCCAGTTCCGCCCACAATGTAGACCCCCCTGGCGCGGTTTAAACGGATCCGGGCTAACATTTGTAGTGTACTGTAGCGCGGCCGCGCTCGGCAGTCCGCACAGTTATTTTAAATTTTAAATTTAACTTGTCGCCACTTGTCAGCCTGTACTGTAGTGGGGCCCCGCCCCGCAGTCCGCACAGTAATTTTAATTTAAAATGTTACACTTGTCGCCACTTGTCACCGCCACGTGTCCCCGTGGCGGCCTGGCCTGCGGCCAGGCCCCGCCCGTGGCCGCCACTTGTCACGGTAGCGCCAATGGCAACGCGGGAGCGCAAGGACATACAGACAGACACACAGACAACGATTTTAGTAGTTGTAGAATTGAATTCAATGTGAGTACAATAAATAAATAGGGCCATTTGCGGATCTTGGGGTGACAGGTGCGGCTTTTGATGCCCTTGGGGAGGTGAAGTTCTAGCCCTGGGGGTGTTTTGGGGGCGACTACCCCAATTGAGGTGGCATTGAAGGGTGACGTTCCTCATTCATCCAATTCCGAGGGTGACGTCGCCCTAAGAAAACGACATGTTGAAACATGCCGATCTTTGTCTGTGTCTATAGGGCGACATTGGATCGTTTTCTGAGATTGATGTGATTTCAGTTGGAAATATAGGGTGACTTCATATGCGAAACACCGGCAACTTCTACCCACTCTATCTACATACAATTACATACAGTATTTTCCGTATTTTCCATACCACGGAAGCATGTTTACCTAGTGTTTTCATCCCCATAAAGCTGTCTCAGTGCACAATCAGTGACAGTATGCGTCTCAGAACGACAAAGAGAGCAAGTATACTTCCTCTTTGATGGCGCAGGTCCGTTCTCATACCAGCTCTTCTTACGTTTTCCCGCGTTTTTCACTGGCCTCCCACGAGGAGGAGGGATAGCTTTGGGAATTCTTAAGTTCTGACCAAAAGCTACTAACCGTTTCGCTTGTTTGATAACTTTGTCGACAGAGTATTGCGCCGGCATTGAGTAACACAAGCTGTAGTAATTCTCTTTCCATGCTTTCGTCAAATGTCGTCGCGCAACGTGCTTATACAAATTATTAGATCCGTACTTCTCACATATGACAGCCGTTCCGTGATAGCAAGGAAAACCGGAACCATCTCGTGAATGCATGCAGCATGAAGGGGGCGTGTTTGGCTCTGAACGCATGACTACATGCCTCAAACGCGTTCCGTCCACCACGCTTCGTACCGTCGCCTCCATTTGCCCCGTTCCCTCTACAAACCTAACAGACTCCTTATAAACTCTTGATCTCTGAATGAGTAGCGCAAGACGTTGTTCAATGTGAGGTGGTACGGGACTCTTGCAGTTCATTGCAGTTGCTTGCCGCTTCAAAAAGGCAGTTCGCTGTGTCGACACAACTTTCTCCAGCATCTTTTGAGGCTCCACTGTCCTGATGTGGTTTCGCAGGGCGGCGGACATGCCACTTTCAGCTCCTTGAGATGTCGTGATTAGATCTTGCAACATCGAGCATGCTCTGTACAGCTCACTGTCATCAAACCTATTAAGGTAATCTGACATCTTCATCGGGAAGTCTTTTTTGGCTTGAATAACCTCATCCTTGCTTGGGTTTCGAAGCGCTTTATCGTACATGCGCACACCAACAACCTTTCCCGCACCCAGTGCTGTAGCGAGATTTTTTCGGACATGCAGTGGGTCCAGGAACAACTTCGCGTGCTGCATGCACCGCTTGTACGCTGAGTCGATAGATTTCTCCTGGTCGACAATTGTCGTCCTCGTTGGTACATCAAACCCTGGGATATCCGCGGCGGCAGCAAAAACTTTCTCCCATGTGTCCATTCCCTCAGCTCCCACGAAATGGGCGAACACCAAGGGGCAGAGTTGATGGTTAGTGTCGTATCCGAACACTTCAAATGTGGTTCCGTAAGAACGGCGGCCCAAACCCTCGCAATGAGCGGCATCCGCTGCGCATGTCATCCTGCCCTTTCTACAGAAAGCTTCTGCAACCATCGGGACGAAGAGGAACCCGCCATAATATTTACCCTCATCCGCAATATCCGAGACGTCCACATCCTCTACATTAAACCCGGATTGTAGGGATCTTAGTTTTTCAGAGTATGAAAGTTTTTGCTGTTGTTTGTATATGAATCGTGCAGCCTTGATGCGCTGCGCCTTCATTTCCGTACCGGACAAGATGAAAATGTCCACCCTGTGCCCCAATTCCCTCAACAGATCAGAGTATCCTTCCAGGGCAGCCATGTCAACGGCTCGAGCAGCTGAGATGTATCTGTTCAGCTCGCGCCTCACAGTGCGAATGTGTGATCTTGCTGGTTGTCGACGGTAAATTGACTTCGCCCTTAAAATGGACGCTAGGACGCTGGTGGGCATGTCAGGGTTCAAGGCGAACTCATCACGAAGCGCCCGTGCGGTCTGCTCAGCGGTATACGCCGGTCTAATTTGACAGGACTTTCTGTCGACTGACTGCCCATAGCACTGGTTTTCGTGCTCTTGGAACCGATTCAACTTCCACAATCCCGATTTCGGTTGCCGATTAAAAGTGAGAGTTGCGGCACAATGCTTTCGTCGAAGCTCTCTTTTGTTCCGCTCGCCGTTTCTTCTGTTCGTCTTCAGACAAAGTTCTGACGTCAACTGGCAACACCCTTTCAGCTGCAGCTGCTGCATCACAAGCTTCTCCATTGCTGCTGGTGTCTTCAGGCGTGACGGCTATGTACGCTCCGAAACCAAAGTCATCGTCGTCAATACATTCCGGGCGAGGGGAACGAGAGGAATCTGCTTCATCTTCCATCGAACTTTCTTCTTCGGCATCAACATCCTCATCGTCCTCTTCCTCATCCGAGTTCACCCCGTCACCCGCCTCTCTATCCCAATCATCGTCAGGCGCCCCAACGAACTCCGCTTCCTCACCATCTGGGCCGTGACCCATTTTAGATTCAAACTCTCTACCCAGGACATCGGTCATAAAATCGGTTCCGTCAAACGAAGATGTATGGATCCTGGGGGAATTATTCCGAGCCCCTCCTTGGCTCCTTGATTCATGACGATCCCTTCGTTCCCTCCTCTGCCTCTCTTCTCGTTTCCGCGCCTCATTATCCATACGTGCTCGTTCCTGATAAGACATTCTCTTCTCTCTGCGCTCCCTAGCCATCCGTTCCCGCCTTTGCGTAATCGTCTCAGGCTTTTCCACCTGACATATGTCTTCGTCTTCCGTTTCCCATTCTTGTCTCATTTCCTTCTCCCTCCGCTGATGTTCCCATTCACTTTCCGCTGAGCCTTTTCTTTCCCTCTCTTCCTCCAATGCCTGCTCTTTTTCTCTCTCCGCTTCCTCCCTCTTCGCACGTACTCTCTCCTCCTCTAGCCCCTGCTCCCTTTTACGTCTCAACTCCTGAGCTCTTTCTTCTTGCATCCTTTCTTCACGATTGCGACGCCCCTCCCTCTTTTCCCTTTCTTCACTTTTGTCCGTTTCTTTGCTCCTATCCTCGCCTTTTTCCGCTTGAGAAGACATTTCCTCCTCCTCAGCCATGACCTTTCTTCGAATATTCTCCCTTTCCTCCCTTAACATGAGTTCGAGTAGTTTCTCCTTCGAGGTTGGAATGAGTGTAAAAAGTAGTGTTGCGGGAACCAAATTTGAAGCATCTTCCCCGTTTTCCATCTCATCAAAACGAATGTCTCTCTCAGCTTGTTCTTTTGCGCGAGTGAGCTTTTGCATAGCTTTATTCGCGGAGGAGCGATCCGACACACATCTGTCCGGATGAACAAGAAAAGAGAGCTTCTTGAAACGCTTTTGTATATTGCGCAAAGTGGGCTCGTCACTTTCGTCCGCCGTATCTCCGGGATGAGCGCAACAAAAGACGTCAATTACGGGCGTTTCGTTGATGATGATTGTCCCAAAGTGATGCAGGGCCTTTCTGGCGTCTGGCGGAAAAGATCGCATTATCCCGCCAAAATATGGCAGAGAAAAAGGGGAAAGAACAGAGGGTGACAGTGAAAAGCGAGCTGCGGTGCGAGGGATACTTCCGGAGGATGGATTTTTGTGGGGTGACTATCGGAGAAAGTGGTCGAGGCGCAGGCCGAGGCGCAGGATATTTGACAAGAATATCTGCGCTGCGGACGCCCTACAAATGAGACACTCATGCCGGCCAGAAACACTGTTTCTGGAGGACCAGTAGTTTCATACGAATTGCTCAATTTTTGCAGATAATGCGCCATACATGCCATTTGTGCAATGTCCAAGTGTTTACCAGAGCTTTGAGGCCCACATTTACGTCACTTATCGTTGTTGTTGTACACTAGTTTTGAGAGCTGCTCCGTAGCACGCTGATTATTGAGAAAAGCCAAAGTTTACAGGGATACATGTTTTGTCACCCGTCCTATCTACTCGTACAAGTAGTCTCAATTTCACCAAAGCTCTCTCAACTTTTGTACTGAAGCGGTGGAATGGAGGGTATGAGGGGAAGAAGGGGTAGCGGATGGGTTGTTTGGACCGAGAAGTGAAAGCTCAAAACCTCCAATGATTACCGCAATGTACGCATGAGACAAAGGTCGTTAATGGTTCATCTGCGGACCGAGTCTGCATCTGGTAATAAGTACATTTTCTTTGCTTGCATTTTCCGCACTTGAACATATCAGTACTTGCCTCTTGCTTGCTAAACGGCATCGCATCTCTGGTCATCTTAGCACGAACTTCCTCCCGATTCTTTCGTAGCTCATGATGAGGGCGCAGGCGTCCGTTTCGCCGAGAATTCGTTCAGAGATGACAGGGGCGTTGGGGTGTTGGTCAATACAACTGCAACAGCGTTTGATCACATGAGCAATGTCCCAGTCGATGGGAGTGGTGGCCTACCAGTAGGTGACGGTACCGGGGTGTCGCCGTCCCAAGTATATGTGGACAGATAGACTTTCTTCCTTTTCCAAATTGTTCATCATAGATTGTGTAAATGGGAGCCTGTACAAGTCTGATACCATGCAAGTTTAACAGCTTCGATGTCTTGTTAAGCATGTGCATCCAAGCGATGGAGGACGCCGTTTGAGCGGAAGCAAGCGAGGAAGAGTTCCTCAATAATGTAAAGTCTCTTCACAGAACCCGTATATACATGTCATACGGTCGAGCCATATGAGCGATATCCACGGCGCATCAGCGAACGACGTGGAATTATCAGTTTCGCTGCAAATACAGTACTTCGTAGGGACAGGATAATGACGAGGACAGCTTGCCGAGAGATACAATGGCCACCTTCGACACCTGTTGATTGGCGGAATGCGTTCTGACCATGACACTAGGCCAATAGGAGTGATTCCCATATGGTGACCTTGCTGGACAATGAATGAGGATCCGGACTGCAGAGGGCAGGCTGTGATGTCCGCAGAAGTATTTGGTTGTTCCAAGAACATTTTAATACGCAAACCAGGCAGCTACATTACTCATGAGTCCTGCACTGTCGTCGGAGTGAGCGCCACATCGCTAGATGAAAAAGGCTATGAAACAGTGACAGAAAGAATCGCTCCGGCTGCATTTCAGCCGCACCAGAGACAAGAAAGGGAAACCTACACTATCAACAATACGAGTGCACCACCTCTCCCATGACCCGCACGCCCAGCAATACGCCCGCCACCCTGTCGTCTCCGCCCACTCCTTCCCGCCGCAGCCCATGCACCCGACGGACCGCCGCCCGCCGCTGCCCATCGACATCAAGCCGGTCCAGAAGCCCACCGCCACCTACGAGCTGGATGACTCCCCGCCCATCGAGCCGCACATCGTCATGCAGATGGGCGGCATCCCGTACGCAGACCTGTGCAAGGAAAAGGTCCGTGAGGCCTTCAAGGAGATGAAGAAGAACGAGCACATGGCCAAGGGCGAGTTTGACCAACAAGAAGCAACAAGTGGCGGGAGCAGAGCCGAAAACCTCACTCTCCCTTGCCACACGCGCGTTTCAAGCTCCTGCCCCCGAAAATCCGCGCATACAAAAGATCGAAAATCCAATCGGCACTGTCCCGTGAACTACTCAGAACAGCCAATGGTTTGGCCATGAACAATGTGGCGGCGGGCCACGTCCAAACGACCGGCTCATATTGCTCACCTGGGGCGCAGCGTGAGATTCGTGTGCCGTGGAGATACACAAAGAGCCAAACAGTGGCTCCCTTGCCGTTTTCAGCCTCGTGCCAGCGCCCGCCGCCCATCGCCGCGCCTCCGCGCCTCCGCCCATCGCGCCCATCGCTTGCTTGCCGAGGCCCACCGCCACCTCGGCCGTCGCAACGGTTCAAACAGCACCAATCGAGCACGGTCATCGGCCGAAGGGAGAGGGCGTCCTCACCAAGCGGCCTCACAACGCGACAGCATTCCCGCCGCGCTGGAAGACGAACAAGGCGTCGATAGCCAGGACGGCTGCTCGGCGTTCTATGCAGCCTAAGTTACTAGCATTTCCAATTGCAATCATGAATCAATACATCTTCTTTGCCCTATCGGCGCTCCTTGCGGCTTCCGTCGAAGGCAAGAAGCATGTGATGTCTGTAAGGTGACCGTGAACGACCGCGTCGAAAACGCTCAAGGAGTTCGCGAGATTTCGACCGAAGCCGACCTTCTCATGCCCGTTGTCCCGTGGGAGGAACTTACCGCTGATGGAGTGACCGTCGACGTCTGTACATTGCACCGAATCAAGTTCGTTGGCCCTGTTGATGCGGAAGACTTTGAAGAGGGCAACGTGCTCACTTGCCCTAAAGACGACCACGCTTCCCTGGGGTGCCCTGAACCACCTGTGAAGGACGAGCTCAACGTTCTGGACGAGGTAGTCTTCCGCAAGATCGTGATGGTCACGATTTTTAAGGGCGGCGTGCACGTGAAAACGAGGTACGTTTCCGGTGCCGATGTCGCGCCGCACGTGGCCGTGCACGTTGGGGAGCTGGTCAACCCAGCTTCCCGCATCATGGAGTCCAGGAAGAGTATTCTGGAGATGAAGGCGGTGGCTAGGGTTAACGACATTGGTATCACGGCCTTCGATGAAGACGGAAGCACCGAGGTCGTGCCGGGCATGGACCTTACCTGGGGAATCAAGGCGACAGCTGGAGTGTGCGAATTCGACTTCGATCGCTTCCCACCCAAGGCGACATGGGAACAAAGGGTGAGGGTGGAGGCGTCAGGGTCTGTCTCAGCGGCGGCATCGTTCTCAAACAATCAATCTGGTGAGCTTTTCAATGTTCCCATTCTAGGGGCTGGTTTTGAGAAGAAAATCTTCCTTGTCGGAACGATCCGCTTTGGATTGTTCGCCAGTGTGGATTACGAACTCTCTCTCATGGCTTCGGCTTCAGCGGTGGCTTCCTTTTCTGCGACTTATGAAACTGGTCAAAAAGTTGAGGTCAGTCTCATCGGGTTTGACCCCGAGTCCTTGGCCTCTTCAGGCGAAGGCGGCACTGGTGATCTGGTGTTTACCGGACCGACTGTCGACTTGGATCTGAGCGTGGAGGGATTCGTCGGCGTTCGGCCTGCCATCACGGCCGACCTGTCTCTTCCAATCATCGGCGACGCATCCGCAGAGGTGTGCGCAACTGTCGGCCTGCAGTTGGACGCCAACTATCAAGACCCTGCCTTCCCACCGACGTCCGGGGGGTTAACTCTTGGCACCTGTGATGCTTGTCATTTTGTGGAGGGCACTCTCGACTTGGTGGGCAAAGACCTCACCGTGGAGGGCAAAGTTCCCGTCTTCGGGAGCAAGACCATCGTCATCGACGACCTTTTCCTCGACGAAAATCTTGGCACCGTGTGCGCATTCGAGACGACCTGTCCGACGGAAGCAGGAACGACGGTGGCGCCTCCGACGGTAGCAGGAACGACGGTTGCTCCTCCGACGGTGGCAGCCACGACTGCGGCGCCGCCGACGGTGGCGGTAACTACTCTAGCGCCGCCAACAGTGTCGCCGATGACGACGGCGGCTACTACGGTTGCAGCTACGACAAGCACCGCAGCGACGACCGCGACGGCAGCAGCCCCGGCAACGACCGCTACGACAGCAGCCCCGGCAACGGCAGCAATCACGGCCGCCACGACGTTGGCCACGGACCCACCGTCAACGACGATGGCGACGACCCCCCCTACGACAGCGTCACCGGCGACGACGATGATGCCCTCGTCCTGCATGGCCTTCGGTGTCGTCGGAACGTGCGTGCCGACAGGCGAGTGCGCCGCGATGGGCTCGTTCTCCGAGGCAGGGCTGTGCCCTGGACCGGCAGATATCCAGTGCTGCGTGCCAAACTTCGGCGCTTGCTTCTCGGGAGAAACTGGGCGCACGGGGACGTGCACGAAATCGTGCGGTTCGGGGACTGTGGAACTTGGACTTTGCCCTGGCGATGGGTCTATCACGTGTTGCCTTTTGTAGTGCTGTAGCTTGTAAAATGGGTTTGTTCCGTCTACGTAAGTGATTTGGTGAGTGCATTGGAGAGGAAGGTTGGCGGATTAAGGGAGGCGACGTCTCCCGGCCTTATTCAGTGGAATGAACCCGGATGACTTGACCAGTGGGCAGAGTGGGAGCCTGGAATGCAGACGAGAGCAACCCAGCGGCAGTTCCAGTTCCAGTTCAGCTGGGGGTCTTTATGTATAGTATAGCTCTTCCAACGACCCTCCTCTTCGGTGATACAGCGCAGTGCTGTGCATATTGTACCACAGCGTGTACAATGCAGCTTGATTATGTATATGCATTGATGTATGGCGATCTTGACTTGTTCCAGCAGACAGTGCTTCCGTATAGCTACTCAGAACTGCCTGCTGAACTGTGAGGGCTTCTCATGATCTGAGAGCATTCCTGCCTTTGAAGCAATCAACAAAAAAGGCACTACATAAACGCTCGCCGCATGAAGAGCTGGTTACATTCTCCACCTAAGGTTCGACGTTGCAATCCGGTCGCAGGACTCGGACACACCAAAGAAAAGCGAGGCCAGAAAGGGAGACGTAACACGACGGCTGCCGCAGAGGGTACCTTACAGCTCTGGCGGCGTGGGACGGCCGCCTTACATGGCGCTTTGGCCGATGTCTCGCAAGCCGCGACCGCCAATGCCAGGGGCGCGGCGCTCGCTAATGCCAGGGATTAAAATGCAACCTCCCCCGAGTGCGCCACACGCGCCAAGGGTGCGGCGCTCGCTGATGCCAGGGGCGAAGATCCAACCTGCTCCGGGCGCGTCAGACGCGAAAGCAACGTCTCGTCCCAGGTCCATCACTCTCATGTACCCTTCCATCTCTTCTGCAACTCCTCCTTCTTCGCCGTGAGCAGCTCCCTCCTCGCGACGGTAGCAACCCGTTCGGCAATGCGGTCCTTTCCCGCTTCCTCCGCCTGGCCGACCCTTCTCTCCCTCTCTTCCAACTTGCGCACCCACGCATGTAGCCTCCCCTGCTCGACGCCCGAGTACTTCAAGCTGGCGAAGAAGGAGCGGGAGGGGCGGGGGATGAACACGAGCAGCGTGAGGGCTTCTTGGAATTGACAGGGACTTTAACTAGCTCCCTCACTTCAGCCACGCGCAAATGTTTTGCTTCATCTCCGCCAAGGAGACGAAGCACATCTTCGGTTAATGCGAACGGATACCTTGAAGCGCTATCATGGACAATACCACGGTTGCAGTCCAGCGCAACGCAATGATCTACAATTCCGTGTTCCACTATTCGGACTATCCACACGCCTTGATTATGGTGCGCAAGCCACTTGAAAGGATTTGCATCGAACGCCTTCTTCACAGCTTTAGGAACTCGGCGCACTGATAGTTGAGCGGGAATTTGGTGAACCAGAGAAAAGAGTTGCTTGAGTGTTTTGATCTTCATCGGATGCTTCCGAAGGTACTTGTCGACGCTTGTTCCTCCTGTGGTACCATATAGCGCACAAGTGCCGTTGGACAGCGCAGCCGACACGCATGAATCGTCGTTGCTGCGCACGAGGTTCGGGCCATACTGGTGCACCTCAAACCTTCTTGATCCAGTGATTTGACCGCGTGCCCCAATACCACCGATGAGTATCGGCACACCGCGATGGGCCATCATCCACGCATACAGTCGACGGAACATCTCTTGCAAAAACTTTCTCTTGCGCGGCAAGTCGTTGGTACCATCATCTATAGCGTTTAATAGAGCCTGCATCGTGTGAAGGGATAGTGTAATCGAATTGGCATCGATAGGCCAGAAACTTTCGTCACCGCCTGTCAATCCGGCGGCAGCGTACAAAACGCCGTCTTGCATTTTGTGGCCGCTTGCCCCTTGTCGGCCATCACCAATCATCACCCTGTCAATCGCCCAGCTCATGGTGTCCAAGAATACTAGGAATGTTGCACCTCCCCGGAGATCTGCACAAACTTCCGTTCTTAATGGACACGCGTGAGATGGGCGCCGGGCTCTTTGGTGCGGGTTCCGGGTCACTTGGAGACGCGGCCGTGGTGCACCGTGCTAGAGGCAGGGTGAGCAAGGCGATGAAGAAGACGGGTGAGGGCATTGCGGCGAGATGTGCGCGGGGGGGAGCTGGGGAACGTAGACGCCGAAAAATGGCGGGTTCAGAAGGCGGAACGTACGCCGCGTGACCGCGCGTCACCGTATGCCACTGTGGTGGGCACTGGGCGGCCTCTATAGCCACACTATATTGTTTCAGTTTTGAGAGCGCTTTATCCAGCGCGAAACCGTGCGTTGGCGTGCTTTTATAGGGGTGACATTAAAACAATCATGCATTTCTAGGGCGACTTTTCTAACATTTAGGTCTCTGCCGAAATGCCACGATGGTATACGTTTTTATGGGGTGACATCCCCGAATATGAGTTTGTCGGAGGTGACTTTACGATCGTTTTTCTGTCACCCTAGAAAACGTGCATTGTCACCCCCTGAAAAGGACACCATGGACCAAAATCACCCTACTAGCAAAGCACTTTTTAGTAGTGTCGCCCTATAAAAACCCCCACCGCATTGAAATCGCCCCACGTAGATTTCACTTTGGCCGGGTGTCGCCCCAAAATCTACACTTTGACCCAAAAAAAAATGATGAGTCATCAGTGCACGAGCTGCTCCATATCTCCTCTCGATACGTACAGTATCCGCTCTTCAAAAGCCATTTCAGGCATTTCGCAACACATCCTCTGGGATACCGGCGAACATGGAGGCACCAGCAGGCAACATTTTGAAGTGGAACCACCTTTTCAGTCCCCCAAATGTGCCAAGACATCGCTGCCTGGCCTTCCTGTATTGTATCTACAGAAACCCATGCACGTCACTCTCACTTTTGTGCTTTTCTTTTCTACTCGTTCTGTATTGCTGGCAACCATGGCCATTCATAAACTCACTCCCACTCACAAACCTTTCATGCAATGACCAATGCTGCTTGCACCTACCATCATTCATATACCAATTCCCAAGACGCTGTGGCCCGGAACATCGGAAAGCATCAAGCCCTCAGTGTCGTATACTATTTCGTTTCTGCCATCTGTCAAGTTTCAACCCGGCGAGTCACATCTCGCTAAAATGTATCCTCCTTCCATTTCCTCCTTCCCTCCCTCCTTCCCTCCCTCTTCCCCTCCCTCTCTTCCATTGCAACATCACTCAATCGCTATGCCCAAAAAATTTCTGTGCGCTGCGGTGAGTAAAAACTGAATGGCTACCTTGCTTTATTCTTTGAGATACACATCTAGTTGCACTTCCAGATAAGCCATTTCCACCAACTTGCTTGGCACTGCTGTCCTGCCTGTGGGGTCGCCGCCCGAAAGATGGACGACTATGTCAGTGCTTTATCTCCCGAGCAAGCCCTTTTCGTAAACGCAGCATATGCAAGAGGATCAAAACTAGAGATGAGCCTCGCCTGCTCCAACGTTCCAAAAATGGATGTCCTGTCTAACAGTGACCCCTTCTGTGTCGTGTACTCGCGTGACGGTTCTGACGACTGGGAAACCTTGGGATCCACGGAGACCATCGTTGATACCCATACGTGCAGTTGGACCACAAAGTTCTTCATTGACGTTAAGAGACTCTGTTCTGAGTTTCGCTTTGAAGTGTACGATAGAGACTCCCCACGAGACAAGCTCAAAGATCATGATTATATCGGATTCGTTGAAGGAAACCATATCATGTCCATTGTGGAAAGCCAGAAGAGCACGGCCAAGTATCCGATTTCCCGACCGGGCTCGAAATTTTCTTTCGGCGTCTTGTCTATCACCCTCGACTGGCTGGAAACACCTGTTGGCAACTTTGACCTCACGTTCGATATAAATGTGGAGTACTCCGTGCGGGCCAAGATGTATTTCCAGGTCATGAGAAAGATGCCACAAGATAATCACTACGTGCCCGTGTTTCGGTCTGCCTTGCTGCGAAAGAACGACTCACAGTTCGAGAGAATGACAATCAACTTGACTCAACTATGCGCCGGTAGCGTTGAAAGGACTTTCCGCATTGAGCTGTTTCAATTCAATTCAATGGGTAGAAGTAAACTCCTCGGCTTTGTCCGCACCTGCGTGCAAGAATTAGTAGCCACGGCAGTCGTTACCAAGATGAAGTGGAATTCCGGTAGCAATGGATTTGATCATGCTACAGTGTTAGTGGCACCGCGAGTGGACTTGGAGAAGGGGTATCTAATTACTATGAAAGAATAAGTTGACACAAGAGTGACGAGAACAGTAATGCACTGATATGCATGTGCTGTCGATTTCGATTTCACCTCAAATGGAAAAAGCTTCAAGCTGCCCGACGTCAGTCAGAACATGTATTCTCTCTAGCCAGCAAGGCCTGCGCGATGAAATCTCCTGTGCAAGATTCGCTTCCCGCCATGACAGGCACTTGCAGCCCAGCCACACCTGACGTGCAAGAACTGATGGGGTGATAGACACTGGGTCGTCAATAGCGTTGCCGTGAAAAGAAAAGTCTACATGGAAATATGCATCACGAAGCTTTACAACCAAAATGCGACCTTACGATAAAATGACTGCTTCCGCGAGCCGGCAAGAACCTAAAGAACCGCGAACGAACTCGAGCACCTTTGCTCTTGGCCCGAAGTTTTATGTACAGTTTCTCGATGTGTTACTTTTCTGACTCTTCAGTGCTCATTGCATCTTCGACACCTTCCGTCCCTTCTTCCGCCACGCATATACCAAGCCGCCGATAGCCGACGAGGACAACCCTATCAGCAAGAGCCGACCCCACCAAGGCCACGGTTCATCCGCACCGACGGCGTCATCTGCGGCTTCGTCATCATCATCGTCGTCATCGTCATCATCATCGAGCTCCTTCTTAGCCTTGATAGCCGCAAGGTGTTCCGCATCGTGATCAACCTCTGGTGGCTCGTGGTGATGTATGTTGTGGTGGTGTTCTTCATCTGAATCCTTGTTTTCTTCTGTTTTCGGAATGCCGTCTTTTGCAGTGCCGTCGAGATGGACTTCGTGATCATGCAAGGCAGCCGGCGGCAGCGGCGGCATGTCTTGCCCTGCAGGCGGGTGCACCGGCAGTGGCAGCGCACGTCTCTTAATATCCCAACCCGGGACGTCATATTTGTCCTTCCAATCCCCCAGCCAGTAGTACCGGAGACCAACATGTCGATAACGATTCGGATATGACATAGATCCAAGGGTCTCGTTGAGCAAAATCCTCCGCGGATCCTCCGGTTTGCAGCTATGCTGGCGCTGGCCTGCGTTCACCGCGCACGTCGCAGAGTAATAATTAAGTAGTTTGGTAGACCTGAAAAAGGCCTTGATATCCTCGACATCGTCCACCATTGAGAGGATGTCGAACTGGTTGGCGATGGCGAACAGGCCGGGCTCCGTAGCTTCGTAAAGCTTCCCAGCCATGTGAAGGAGAAAATCGCCTGGGCGGTATTCTTCCGTGTAGACGTTCATAGCGTACTTGGGAACGACTTTGACGTGGGCGTCGCGCTCACGCGCGGAGAGGTTGTTCAAATGATCTTGGAAACTGCTTTGGTCCAGGGCGCGGGCAGTGTCGAACTTGCGGGCGTCGTAGACCTGGTGCAGGAAGTTTTTCATCCAGTCGGAACATTTGAAAAGTATCATTCCGGCATTGAGCATCTGTGATGGGGATAGGACGAAAAGTGTAGCGAAAAGAAGATGAGTCAGACGCAAGGCATGAAAAAGAGTGGAAGAAGGCGCAAGATTGCGATAAAAAAAACGTACGAGCCAGTCGTACGCAAGCATCATGTCATAGCCGTCATCAATAAGAGCCTCCAGCGGGATGGACTGATTGACGACCATGGCATCTGCATCGGACCATAGCAACCAGCCATCATCCCTCCCCTGGCACGCGGCGATGGCCATTTTAATCTTTCCAAACGTGGGGGCTCTGGTATGGTCGATATCAAAACTGTCGTCTTTTGTCCAGCACTTGCCCTTGGCATCCGGGGTCCTGCCGTCGCACGAGGCCGGCTTGAGGACTCCCGATGTACGTCCCGGGACGGAGAGAACGAGATCGTAGCCGTGACGGCGGGCATATCGCCCCTTGTTCTCAGCGGTGAGGGCGCCGAGACGCCGGAAGAAGGAGACGTTGTCGTACATGTGGAGCAGGGCGATGGGGACGCGGCGAGGGGCGCCATTGGAGCCGAGCAGGGGGTCGAGGGGCTGCTTCGGGATAGGTAAGGCGATGAGACATGGGAGAAGGAGGAGGAATGGCGCTAAGCGCGCCATGATGCGGGGGCGCTTCGAGTTAGGGGGTGGAAGAAGAGCAAGTTGATTAGACGGTCGATGGGGAGGATTTTGCTTGCATGGTGTGTGAAGATGAGTGCAACTGGCTTCAAAAGTCCTTGCTTATTATTATATATTCAAAGAGCGCACAGGGCTGACGAAGGATCAAGCATGGTGCATACAGTACCGTGCAGTTTGCAGTGTAAGCACACTTGTGCAAATAAAATGTCGTCATTGAAGTACAGCAATGCATCGTTCAAAATGAGGCTTCATAACGTGGACACGTGGACACGTGAAAGAGTTGGGAGTGTGCTCCCAACAGCACATTTTGCCGAGCTCGACCATCCTTGATCCTACCGCGCCTTTCGTTTTGTCTGACATCAAATGGGCCCCTGACCCGGCCATCCTCTCCGAAAATGCCGTCAACCCTCGCCTTCATCGGCGGCCTCGCCCTCCCCCAAACTCGATTCCAACGGGCCCTCAATTGTGGCCGAAGACCAAGGCCCCCATTACGCGTCGCGCCCGCTGCCACGCCTCGATGCTGCCTCCCCACGCGCAGCACGGACGCGCGCGGCTTCGTGCTTCCCGACGAGGGCGACGTCGTCTTATTTGCCGGCCGCTGGTCGCAAGAGGATGCGCTGGGCCTGGTCTCGGGCGTGCGCTTCATCGAGTCGCGCGGTTCGCACGTCGTTGACATCGTCGAGCTGCGCCGCATCTCGTCGGACCTCTTCGCCATCCCGAGCGCCAGGGCCCGGAGGAAAGGCCCCGCGCGCTGGATGGATGTGGCTGATGTTCGCGTCGCGTCAGACGCGGAATATGTCCCCACCCAGGACGCCTACAGAGTCACGGGTATGAACGACGGGTACGCACCAGTCGCCCCGTTGGATCCCGAGGCCCGGGAAAAGGCCGACCGGGAGTATGCCAAGCTCAAGCGGGAGCTTCTTGTGGAGACACAAGTCGTGGGTGTGGCTGGGACCGTGCTTGCTGCACTGGCGCTTGGCCCGCGTGTAGGTGGCGCGTTTGCGGCAGGTAGTCTGGCCTCGACCGTGTATTTGGCGATGCTGCAGGGTGGTGTGGATGCTGTCGGGAAAGAAGGGTTAGCGGCCAGGTTACTGGGTTTGAGATTTGCCGTACCAATCGTGCCGTTTCTTGCGTTGGCAGTTGTGAACGGTGGATTAAAAGGGGGAGTTGAGAATTTGCTAGGGAGCATTGGAAAGCAAGAAGCATTGGCGATTGTGATCGGGCTGCTGACGTATAAAGTCCCGCTGTTCACAAGAACGGGAAGCGAGTTTGTGGATGGGTTGGCAGATTTTGAGATGGGGAAGACGGGCATGGTTGGCACGGTTGCTGGGTTAGCCGCAAGGCGGATAAAAAAGAATAGGGATGGGGAACCGGGGGAGACGGAGGAGGGAGGGCAGGAAGCGAGGCCGGTAATTGTGTTTTCTGGTCCTTCGGGAGTTGGGAAGAGCACGCTGATGCACAGGTTGATGGATGAGTATCCAGGGAGGTTTGACTACAGTGTCTCTCATACGACACGGGAGAAGCGGGAGGGGGAGGAAGACGGTGTGGACTACAACTTTGTGCAGACAGAGGATTTCGAGAAGATGATAGAAGAGGGTCAATTTGTTGAGTATGCCAGAGTGCATGGTAAGTACTACGGGACTTCGTATGATGCGGTTAATGCCGTATTGTCACTAGGGAACGCCTGCATCCTTGACCTTGATGTTCAAGGTGTGGACGCTCTCTGGAATAAGAGCGGGTTGGACTGGGACGCACGACTTGTTTGGATTGCCCCTCCATCGCTAGAGGCCCTGGAAGAGCGCTTGCTTCAACGAGGGACGGAAACATCTGAAACGCTGAAGATCAGACTTGACACGGCGACTCGCGAAATATCATACGCCGCCACGAACAGTGTTTTTGACTTCACCATCATCAATGAGAACGAAGATGAAGCTTACGGCGAGCTGCGCGATTACATTAACAAGGAGCTACCCCTAGGTGAGACCTGATACCTGTAGTAGCTCCGTGAAAGTGGTGAGGGGAATAGGTTACGTACAGAGGGTAGCAATTAAGTTATAACACGGAAAAGGGGCCGGGTGTACTTTGATTCAGAGGGTAACATTCGAAGAACCAGTCACACTTGTCCCTTCATCAGTCCATGGTGTTTCTTCCACGAATGCAGCAAGACTCTGAAATGGAACTAGTCGCTCCACCCATTTCAAACCAGCTCGTCCGCTTGTTGATGGTAGAACCCACACGATCGCGTCTTCCAGTTTATCGAGACCCCAGTCCCTTCCGTATCCCGACCTTCCGTAATCTCCGTTCCATCCTGCCAACATCTTCTTTGCAACCATCTTCGACACGCAACAGATCACTTTTGGTGGTATACCCTGAGTTCCTGCCAGTATACGATCAGCAACGTCTTTCCGAAGACAATCGCCTTCTCCTCCATTGACCTTTGAAGCGTCGCTTCCACTAGTAACGAAGAGGTCTGCAAAGCCTACACCTACTCTTGGGGGAAGCTCAGTGAATCGGTCTGGCTTGGCGAGATCTTTTGGCACGAGCCCCGATTCTTCCATCAGTCGCCAGAAGCGATTGGATTTGTGAGCGTAAGGTGCCGCTTCTCTCCAGCTCGTATCGGAAGGGTTGTGGCCTATAAAAATTACTCGAAGAGGATGACGATCGCCCAGGTAACGTGCAAAATCGCGAGAAGATCCGTCTGCGGCATCTTCGGCCTTGATTTGGGTAGCAGTTGACACAGGCTTCGCGATTCTCGTTCGCGTACTACGGAGGTTGTCGAAACGAAAAGGAGGGCGCGACATTGCTGCAAGCTGGTATGGGCTTATAGCACCAGCGGTAGACAACGGCGGCACGCAAAACGCAAGAGCCCCCCGTAGATGAGCAAGCATAGAGCTCGGCCGAAGAAAAAGTGCGCGGGGCAAATCGCAAATCGACTATTTCAGGCTTGCAGGCACGCCTGTGGCTGCCTCACGAATCCCTGGTCTCCTTAAAGGCCCTTTCTCGACAAATTGGACTCTTGGGTATCGGGGCCAATGCTTTTCGCAGTAGAAAACAAAGAAGAAGCAATAGCAGTCGTTGATGTCGTTGAGAGTTTCTGTCCAGTAGCCGCCAGTTAGGGACCGATGTACAACAGAAATGCTCCCTATTCGATTTTGAGTGCCTGCCTGCAAAAGCAAACTTCCCGTGTTGCCTTCAAAATAATGATGGGCTCACTGTGCTCATGAAAAGTAATTCACTCGGACCATGCCCTCGTAATACGAGTGCTGTACTGCACCAGCCACTGAAATCGACTTTTATTCGGCGTCGTCCCTCGCCACTGACCGGGTCTGTAATTTGTCTTTCGAGCCCGGAAGACCCGTGAGTCAGCATGCTACCACCTCGCCAATGGATTGCTACCATGTCGGTTTCGCCTTTGTGCATTCTTTCCCAGTCTATCGGGTGTAGCTGAGGGGCGTGGAACGCTGGAGACTCTCCGCTGCCAATCTCCGGGCTGTTGCGTGCTCGTGCCTCTCAAGAGGTTCCCCCTAATGGAATTTGATCCAGCACCTCGCGCAAATCTTGATAGCTCTGCAGTTGCTGTTGGTTTCGAAGACGTAAAACGAGGCGCGCTTCTTTGCGCCCGACTAGCGGCAACCACGGACGGCTGTGCGCGAGAGGCGCGCTTTGGAACGAGTGCGGGCGGTGGAATTCGACGAGAGCGTTTCAGCGTTAGAGCAGGTGGGGTTGGCCTACCTTCCCTTCTGCGCTTCGATTGCCTAACCGCTGCAGCGTTGAGAGAGCTAGCCACTGCCTGCCGGGTGTTGCCCCGCTCGATTTCTAGATGACGACGCGGCAGCTTCGCGATGGACCCTGGCTGGTCACGAGTTCGAACGCCGTGGAGGATATTTGTGAAACGACTTGGACTTGCCTGTTGGACGCCGTATTGGGTGGACTCGAGGGTAGAGTCTGGCATCGTGGGAGGATCGCCGTGTGATTGCCTTTGTCGAATGGGGTTGCGAAGAGAGTCGTTTGTGCGAGTTGCATCCACATGCGTGGACGAACCGCCGAGAACTGAAGATGACGGGCGGTGGGATGGCCGAGATGGTTGCAAGGTAGCAGCGAGGTGTGTAGGGTGACTCGTCTGGTTGAGGCGGGCGTTCTGCGCACGGAGAGCTGCAAGCTCAGTGCGCAATTTTCCATTTTCGGCTTCCTGGGCTCGGTTCTCTTGGCTTTGGGTGGCATTTGCGGCTTCGAGTTTATGGACGCGTTTGGCTAGAGCGTATGCGTTTTGCGCAAGAATGGAGAGATGTTTGTCGCGGAACTGTTGAGCATTCGTTTGGTGTCGCAGAAGATTGAGGTGAAGGAATGAGAGAGAGCGGTCAGTGCGGGTAGTGATGTTTTTCCTGCTACAGAAGGGAGAGTATAGCAAAAGGAAAAGGACATACATTGAGGATCTCTGCCATCATGTTGAGTTCGCGTGGCAAGCGCTTGAAGACAAAAGAGCGCACTTTTTCATCGTACTTGGAGCCCTTGTTTTCGAGGATGCGGGCATTGCATTGATTAGAGCACTGCTCGCAACGTCCTGCATCGGTAGAAGGTGTGAGACGGGTGCACGACGGATTTTCAGCGCAGAAGAAATGGCCACACGAGGTGAAGAGGGCGGTAGCATCGGTGAGTGGGGTGCAACAGACACCGCAGTAAAAGGGCCAAGCGGGGGTGTCATCGGCCATGGGTGAGGCGGATAGTCGGGGATAGAAGAAGTGGTGAAGGAGGCGGCAACGCGAAGTGCAAGAGACGAGAAGGAGGGCGTCCCTTCATCTCGCAGCGCTTCGGTTTTCTTGTGTGTAGGGAAGCGAAAGGCGCAGACAAGGATGAGTAATGCTCGTTTTTCGTTTCGAGGCGCTGAGTTCCCATTTCAGGTACAGTGCACGAAGCTGTAATAAATACACCCATCTACAGCATCAATTATCGCGATTTCTTCGCTCTTTCCCGGGAATGTTCTTGCGTACCACCCCAACAGAACATGAGAAAGCCATCAGTGAAGATAATAAAATGCTTAGAAGTACAGTTCCGAAGTTATCTTTAAAAAACCGCGCATAATTGGGATAGATACGCGAAATTCCATATAGTACAGCAACTTCAACGCGCCAAAGTAGAAAGACAAAAGCTATAGCAACCATATCCCTAATGCTAGCCGCCTATGATCAGTATACTGATCATGGATCTTTCACCCAACAAAAGTTCGATACATATTTGAGCGTTAGTCACGAAACTCGGTTCAGGGGTAGAAGACCCCGATATCAACCATTTCCCAGAGTCTCAAGAGCCAAAAACTACTGGTTTGGAAGATAGAGGGCCTCTAATTTCGGGTTCTCAGCCAAGAAAAAAACACCCAAAATACCCCCCATGATCAGTATAGTGATCAGCAGCAAGGTCCGAAAAAGGGCAAAATAGACCAACTGAAGCCCTTGAGGCCATTGTTTACTTATGCTCATGCACTTTGGCTTCTTTCACGGCGATAGCTCCGTCGAGAAGTACGTCGTGATTGCCGCGGGGTGCTGCTCCGCGGAGTGTCACTCTCAAGAATGCGCCTTCTAGTCCTCGGAGGCTCCAAAGAGCTACCCGAATCGGTCCGGGCTCGGCGATTTGGGGTCACATTTTGCGGAGCAGACCCATTTGCGTTTGCTCTGTTTCGAGATGGGGATGGGGCAGTACTAGTCCGCGTCACTAGTTCTGTGGCCGAATGCCACACTGACCAACAGCTTTTTCTTAAACCAGGGTACACCCTCATGCAAAGATGAACATCACAAAGATTGCATTTGTATGAAGAACGATTTCCTCTCCAGCCCCCCGCGTTTTGTCCGCAAAGCGCGCAATACAAAGCTTTGGGCTGCTGTTTTGGCTCATGCCCTTGAACTGATAGTCTAAGACGCACACCGTCAGGAGCATTAAAAAATATAAGTCTGTTGCTACGACGGTTTACGGCCAAGTTCTTTAATCACGTTGCATCTCCTGAAGTAGTTTCGCCTAGTTCTTGATCTTCGCTTTGGTCCCTACTGTCCTGAATGGTATCTGCGTACGAAAGCAGTTCAATAGCTACATCACGAATAAAATCAGCCATCGCCTGGACCTTATTAAGCGCGTTTCTGTATGAGTCTAAAGATCGAAAGGAAGCTCTGTCTTCGAGAAGATCCCGTCTCTGAAAAATTCTCCAGGCTATAAATCCATTTATGGCCAACGTCTTGATGGTCTGGGAAATCAACTTCTGCTCCCACCTAAAATGTGATGTTGATGAGCGTAACATTGCTCTTGCCTGCGTAGCACCATCTACTCCTCCTTTTGTTTTAGAGTATAGGCTTTGAGAGGAATGCTTAAATAGCTTTAGGGGAGGGAAGGGACCCTTTTCTTTCACATATTCGTTGACAACGCGCCAAAAAGAGTGCCTTGACTTGAGTGTGGATAATAGTTCTGCATCTGCAAAGGTTGGAGGCACCACCTCTGCATCGTATAAATGTGCCCACGTCACGATAGAATCCGCTTTCGCCTGCAGCACCTCCTTAGAGGTCTCCGCAATTGTTTGTGAGCATTTGGCAACGACAGTGTAAAGAATACCCGTTTCTGCTGCGACAACGTAAATGACAAATTGCACCCCAGTCACCAAGACTTGGTGAAGCAGCTGCCCTATGTGTTCTGCTGGAACAAACTGGCGAAACCTTTCGTCCCCAACGTCACAGGTAACGATGTTATCAGTAGCCAACGTTAGAGCAGAGTCTACAGTTCCTGGTGCAACCCTAGTCTTAATCTCAACAGAAGCAAGATTTAAAACTTGTTCTCCAAAGGCGATGCCACTGTTTGCATCGTCAGACGCCCTCCACGCATCATTCCCCAGCTTATCTACATCAATGAGGGCCAAGGCGTCCGGGGAGCACGCCAACCAGTCCTTACCTTTAATCCCCAACATTCCACACTCATACACCACTTGCAAAAACGGCATCCGTTCTATTGCCTTGAGGACCGCCCCCTCATTTGCTGATCCTCTCATCATCGGTTCTGTGGATACCTTTGCACTAAACCACCCGTCACAAAAAAGCTTCAACCACTGCGCTGGCGTGCGTTCTTCCTCCTCCCTTTCAGTTTGCATTCCTAAACATGCTCGCACAAGTCCACTTTTCATCAGTATCTTTCCAGCGTTTGTACCCGTTATGCGAAACTGCCTGAGAACAAACCAGTCGGCGCATCTTTGCCCCACGGATAAGACAGTACACATCTTTAGGACCTCAGCTTCGACGAAGTCTTTCTGATCCTGCGGGGGCGACGGAGGACGCACAACAGCTCCAAGATTGTCACGCTTATTAAACAAAACTTTGTTCAAAATGCAGCCTTTCGGTACCGCAATCCATGTTCTCAGATTGTCATTAATTAAAGTAGGTACATTGTAAAGGAACCTGATGACTTTGGCAAACTTGTCGCTCCCATGCTCGCGAATGGCAATGGCAGTCATCTTGTCATTACCGACTGCACGGGAGCCGTCTCGTCTGACGCGTTTCGTCGCAAAAAAGCATGCCGGACCTAATTGAGGGGAGTCATCTACAATATAAGCCCGTCTCCTGTCATTGCGCATCGGGGGCAGTGCTGATGAGCTCCCCTGCCCCTCTTGTTCCCCAGAGACCTCTTGCACTTCATTTTCCCTGATGCCATTGTCGTTGTCACCATTTGTATGCGCGTCATTGCCATTTACGCTACCTGGTGCAATGTTGGCATTATTCATTCCTTCATCGTCGTCCTCGACATCATAACGAAGTGGATCAAGGAACGACTTACCGACGAACGGATGAGCTCGGAGAATGTGTTCCGGCATTATGAGCATGGAGCCTATCCCAGATTCCATCAGACATTTAAGAATAGATTCCTTCCCATAACCTTGATCGGCCGTTATAATAAAACCCCCAAGGGCCTGCTCTCCCCTTCCTTCCGTCAAAGTGCTCACTAGCTTTTGCACAGAATCAACTACTGTCTCACCTCTTCTTCTAAAACGTAGTGCCATGATGATTCTGAACAAGGCATCAGCAATAGCGTCTGCGGAATGTCCTTCTCGATCGGCTTTGTGCGAGCTTAAATTCTTCACTTGATTATCTGCAGCTCTCGTACCATAAAGCTCGTCATCGAGAGTTGCAAGTAAATGCAAAGGAGTAAAAAATATCTTTCTTGTGTCTCTAAACGCCAATACCTCAAACTCGGAGAGACACTGTGTTTGGTCACGTTTTGATTGCCATGTAGAATCCCCCTGGTTACCACGGCCAGTAGCGGAGTATGCAAGAATGTTGCTCGCAATGAATCGCACTCTGTCAAGAGAAGGACAGACGCTCCCGGTACCGCCTATTAGTGAGATAGTTTTCTGAAAACTGAAACCCGTGCAATGAGACAGTAGGAGTACAGAAACATAACAGTACATGTCGTCTAAACGAATGCGTTCTTCGTTAAGCTTCTCGAGGATGATATATTCGTTTAACCACGTCATGCACTGCGATAGCAGTGCGTTCATGAATAAAACAACGAAGCCGCATCTACCACGGGGAATCTCTCGAACCGTTCGCTGAACGTGCAACCTATCCATTGCGGACATTAGAAACAGACGTGCCCTTTCACTTACAACCTTGTCGACGAACTCTTCCTGCAACATAACGGAACCCCAATCACCATTACACAAAGTCCATCCCCTGCTGGGGTCTTCTCTCCCCTGACCTTGACCAGAAGAATGGGAACGCCTTCCTCTCGGACGCCCCCTTGATCTTCCTCTCCCTCTTCCGCGTCTTGCGCCTGACCCACGACCGCTCCCACGTCGTCGATTGAAATCCGAACTACTGCCTCTCCCGCGACTGCCAGCGCCCTCTTCAAATGCCCCACCTGCAGTTGCTGTGCATTGCGTATCGTTTGCGCTAGCCCCTGGTATTGTGCCGGTGATCGGGGAAGCCGTTGTGGTCACAAGAACAGCGTCAGGAACTATGGAAGCCATCTCCATGAACCCAAGTGTTGGGAGAGACACAGGTTTGGATTGCCACCACCGATTTGAGAGCTTGAAAATCGGGTTGCTTCCACTCAGCGAGCTCAATGTAGTGACGAAGTCATTTACATGCATAGGGATGCGATTGGTTCTTTATGGACGTTCTAAAATGCCCCTTAAAACGGGTCTCTTGATCAGTATACTGATCATGGGGCCGAAATCACAAAATTGGCAAAAATGCCTCTTGATCAGTATACTGATCATGGCAGGCATTAGGGATATAAAACAGAGTAACACACCGTCTTCGTCCCCTTTATACATTTCAAGCTCCAATTTCAACTGTACCGAGGCTCAAAATGCCTCGAGGACCGACTATTACAGACCTCGAAAGGGGCCAGATACTCGCTCTTCACAGGGAGTGTAACTCATATAGAAAGATCGCAGAGATGGTGAATCGCTCCCTTGGCGCTGTGCAAAGCGTGGTAAGACAAGGCTTTAAATCTAAAGCGCCCAGAAAGTGGAAAGGCAACCAAAAACTTTCCCAGACTCAGCAGAGGGCAATGGTTCGGATGGCACTACAAGGGGAGGATAGTGCCAGGACGATTCAGGCTGAACTGAATCTACCTATCGGCAGCCGACGCGTTCAACAAATCCTTCGTGCAGTGCGGTATCTGAAGTATAAGAAAATGATAACGGCACCACAGATGACCCCTATTCATAAAGAGAATAGGGTTAAGTGGTGCCGCCAATATATAAGTAAGGGAGAATAATTTTGGAATACTGTCATCTTCAGTGATGAAAAAAGTTTAACGGAGACGGACCAGATGGTCTTGCATCTTACTGGCACGACTTGAGGACGAAAGAGAGGATATTTTCTAAAAGACAGATGGGAGGGTTTTCTGTAATGATATGGGGTTCCATCAGCCTCCACGGTGTATATCCTCTCCTTTTT